ATTGATATCTAGCAATATTCACAGGTCAATTACTTCAGCTGAAACCTTGTATTTTTAACTAAAAAAAAGATCAAGTCCTCACCCAACATTTAATGATTATTTTTTACTTCGTGTACTGCGTTGAAACAAGGTACATGGATTTTGAAATCAACTCAGGAATCTAACTTGATTTTTAATCCATTTGTGTGTACAACACTTTTAATAAATTTGACGAATTCTTCGTAAATACGAACACACGTTCATAAGCATATATGTGTGACGTTCACAAATTCTAGATTACTGTTATGCATAAATTTTCTTGAAAGTAGATTCATTCCATCACAAGTTAACCCCAGATATTAGCTGGTACACATTCTTACATCTGGATAGAATAGAACAAATCTGGGATAAAGTGTCTTGTTCAAGAACACAACGACTAGACAAGAGCAAGTGTTGACCATGAACCCTTTCGATTATAAATCCAAAACATTAACCATTAGTCAACGCTTGTCCTCCTCCAACCACAATCCATCGAATAATTGAGGAATTTTCAGAATCCAGAAGAAATTATTGCTAGGTGCATGTTCTGGTTCAACTTTGAAAACTATTACAAACCAGGACTCCAACACAGAATCCATTTAAATAGCCTATTAAGAAATGCCTATTGAATGAATTTCCTGACTTAGGCTATCAGAATGATATATGAACTCTGAAGAAAGAGACAGAACAGTAGGTAGACTGAACTGATTGAAGGAAAAGTTGAAAAATAGCTCAGCTCTAGGAAGGATGATCGATTTGAAAAAGAGTAACAATATCAAGCCATCAACGAGACAGTGTAAGCAGAGGGGAATCGAATTTCGTGTTCACTGAATGCAATACAATAATTTCAAAATAGAATGGTCTAATATACTGAAATCCATCCAAATTAGGTAATCAAAATAGTTATTCATATAGCAACTGATGCTGTTAAATTTTATGCATTTTGTAGCCGTGTCTAAGAAGTCACTAGAGTAACCAGCACATGCTAGATGTGTCAGAACCTGATTCTACAAAACTGAGGTACATGTGAAAGGTAATACAATGGTGCATAACATGTCCATGAGTTATAAAAAGAAGTCCGTTTTTTCACAAGATTGGATGATTCAACTTAGCCACACATTTTGAGGAGTATCTCTTTGCACAGTTGATAAAAATATCTAAATAGTGACTGTCATATAATCTATAACAAGAGACTAGATGATAATCAATCCCATCTAAGATATAAGTTGTGTGTAATTATAGTGGTATCTACCTGAAACACAGCAGTCACATAGTTTTAGTTATATGGAGTCATAATGGTACTTTAACATCGGAATAAAATTCAGCAGTAATGCACAGTGGAGAGTGATTTATATGAACACTTTGAAGTCCTGTATAGCAAGAATTAGATGGATGTTTAAAACAAGAAATGCAGACAATGAAGAAGACGTGTATCCATCTATAAGGAAGAAAAATATGAGTGAAGAAAACAAGTAAGTGTATGAAAGTAAAAGCCAATCTCAATGAAAAGTAATCAGCGCGTTAGAAGGCTGGCAGTACATTAATGCAATATTGGTTTTGAAAGCTGCTTTTATGAACCTGACTTTCAAAGACCATAGCAATAGTCCTTTACATAAAGCCTATGATAAATATATCTGAAACAGAAAGACTAAATCACCTATCATGAAAAATTAGATCACTGTGAATTGCATTACCTACATAGTTTAGAAGTTCATCATTAAGCCCGTAGGTAGCAGCAGTAGTATTTTCAGTAACGTAACAAATCATTCCGTCATTGGCCCAGAGTCGTTTTTCACTAAAAATTTAGTGTTAAATATAGCCAAGCAGAAGCAAACGAAAGTTTATGATTTTTTTCTCTAGATGGCAGTGGTAGCAGAGAAAAACAAATATGCTAAATTTGGCTCAATGTTATGTATAAATCCCTCATAAAAACGTGACTTAAACATTTTCGGTGTCTACTAAACTGTCTTCCCTAGAATTTGCCCCAAGTGGCACAGCGGTATGTCTGCGGACTTACGACGTTAGAATTCTGGTTTAGATACCCGTGGTGGGCAGAGCACAGACAGCCCAATGTGCAGCTTTGTGCTTAACTACAAACAAACAAACATCCCTAGAATTTTTAACATAAACTGAGACCTCGTAAAAAGCACGTGTTTCGACCCTTAGCAGAAATATGAGTTCCAGTGAAACTTAAAAAACAGAGAATATAATTAAACAAAATATAACACTAATATCGATGTTACGTACGTCACTGTTTGCTGTTTGTTAGTCATCACCATCCACCGCCAAATCTTGGGCTACTCTTTAAGCAACGAACAATGGAGTTGACTGTCACATTATAACGCCCCCACGGCTGAAAGGGCGAGCATGTTTGGTGGGATAAGGATTTGAATTTGCGACCCACAAATTGCAAGTTGAGCTCCCTAATCACCTGGCCATGTCGGGCCTATGCACGTCACATTGTTGACATACTCTCATGTGTAGCACTGATGACATACTCTCATGTGTAGCATTGATGACATACTCTCATGTGTAGCACTGATGACATACTCTCATGTGTAGCATTGATGATATACTCTCATGTGTAGCACTGATGACATACTTTCATGTGTAGCATTGATGACATACTCTCATGTGTAGCACTGACGACATACTCTCATGTGTAGCATTGATGACATACTCTCATGTGTAGCATTGCTGACATACTCTCACGTAATTTCCCAATAATAATAATAATGTTGATTGATTAATGTTAATTTGAAATGTAAAAGTATACATTAAAGTTGAAGGAGCAAAACCAGTATAATGAATCATGGCAGGATTCATGAATATTCTTTCTCTACTCACTATATGACAGAGAAATTCCACTTTCATGCTCATGAGTGCACATTATTCGAGTTTCAATTTCATACCTGTCTCTTTTATCTACTGGAATAACATTTTCAGGTTCTCAGCCACAGATTCGAACGTTTTATATCTAGCTTATCTTCCTTCGCGAGAATAAAATTCGTGTCAAAAGGCCAGAGTGATGGTTTTGCTCAGAATTCCTGATACACCAAAAGATCTACCAGTATTTTGGCCACTCCTTTATCTACCAAGGTCTCTAACTCTTACCCTTATATACCAACAGGCAGGTACCAATACCCATCCATCCCTGAAAGACTTAGGCTGATCACCACATTTTTGGACGAAAGTTTTTCATTGCACTCACCCAAATCAGTGACCAGATTCAACATAGACTTCTTTAGTTTTGCTGAAACTACAGGTGCAGTATTCACTGTTTGCTGTTTGCCATTGAAAACTTGCTGTCTTGTCAGTCTAAATTGGTAATGAGATCCACCTTTATACGTGGTAAGGTAGGGGCGGCTTACCAAAAATTTTCCATCTCCCCTGCAAGCAGAGCATGCCCTTTACCCCTTCTGCACAGAAAGATGTCCGATTGGCTATACCGCCAGCCATTGTGATATATGTATGCAGTGAGATTTAGAGGTGCAGATCAACGAGTTGTGTTTTTCTAGCTGGCGTTGGCGTGAGAGTTCTATAAAGACCTTTTCAAGTCCAATCTCCAGGAAAAGAATTCTCCTAGATGCAAGTACTCTTTTTGATGGCCATCTTCATCTAGTGATCCACTCTCCCTCTATGTCTTACATACTTCTAGTTATCAAAAATTCCCTTTATCAAACGAAAAAGCATTTTTAAACAATGACCAAGGAGTTGAAGCTCAGGTCAGTACACTCTCCAGTAGCTATTAGCAAAGTCTGCAAAAACCCTGGTTCACATCTTGGTCATGACACCAAAATTTCTTGCTCCTTGTCCACTCTGTGGTATATTCAGGTAAAGTGTCTTAAGTAAAGAGCTATATCGGATAAGTCCGTCAAACAGGAGATTTATTTAAAATGTGGTATTACAGAATGCTGAAGTTTTAATGGCTGAGTTTAAACTAAGGAATAAATAGACTAGACATAATGCGTAATACCAATGAAAACAACTCTTATTTACATATAAAGACAAAAAAAAACAGTCTGTATTTGCTTACACGACATTTCACAGTCGCTTTTTCAAATGTTTCTAAACTAGAATCCTCCATCAGGCTGACTAAATGCAAAGTTTCTAGCTTCAGAGAAACCTCAGATTTATCCAGTGCAATATGCGACACCACATGACATTACACTAGATGGGGTTGTCAATCTCTAGATATTACCTATGTATCATTAAAGAATACAACTGTCGTTTTCCTGGTACAAGGTTGCTGTAAATGTTCTCCACAAGCGGTTTGTTTGTAATTATGCACAAAGCTACACAATGGGTATCGAAACCCGGTTTCTAGCTTTGTAAGTCCGCAGACATACCACTGTGCCACTGGGAGGGGGGAGCTCCACAAGTGATAACAGGTACTACCAACTTCAAAAATAACTAAGAAGCAAATGTAACTTGAAACAAGATGAAATCAAATAATAAATTCAGAATAAATAATAATGCTACAGAAAGAAAAACTTGTGGTACATTCCTATATCACGTTATCACAGCTTCTTAGTTTGTTGTGCAATATTTAGTTGGCCCTGATTTTGAACTTTACTAAGATAAGGATCCAAAACATACTGCGTACTGAATAAGAGACATTGAATATTTGTGGCACCAAATGAAAAATAACAGTACAAACTATCATAACTGACCGAAAATATCGGTTGATAGTCTCACAACATTGATAGTATTCATACGTGTCAGTATCGTCATAATTCAGGATAGAAAATAACGTAATATATGTAGATTAGTATATTTGTTATGCACTTAACTGTTGCATTCGTTGACAATAAAATTAATATACGTATTAATGTTAATCGTCGGATGTGCTAACTTGAAATATATCTTGCTATCTAACGTTACTGTTGTTGACACCCAAATAGACACAAAATGGTTCCGTTTACCACTTTAAATCTGTTCTACTTATTAGGACAGTTTTAACGAGTCGCCGCCATCAGACACTGTTAATGACTTGTGTTCAGAGAGAAAGAAGTGGATGATCGATATATAACGTTCAAAATTACAGCATGTCTCCTGCTTTCAATAGGTTTTATATCTGGAACTGGAAATTATTAAGAGAAAAGCGTGTTTTAAGCTCCAGGATTCGTTTTCGAAATGACTGGAAGTTTAATGTTACGTCTGCCATGAGTGATACCTATCGGCTTTCCGGCGCCCTCACTTTACCAAAATTATGTGGTAGTCGTCAGATAGATCGTATAGTGAATAAGTGTAGTAATTTTTCTGGTGACCAGTATTTGAAAAGTTTATCAAATAAAATTTATTTAAGTACAGACCAATTTCATTTTAATAAGTGGCTAGTAAGCAATTTTCATCTCCAAAATAATTTTTTAACGTTAATACGCAGGAGTTTCTGTACGCAGTTCTTCTCCTATGCTTTGATTAAAAAATGCGTTACTCAAAATCAAGTACTAAAAGTAGGTAAAAGTTTTGCCAACCATCAGAAGTCAATGTTATCTTTCAAAGATTCACAAGATGGTTTAACGTTAGAGAGTTTATCAGTTTTCGAAGAAGTTGTTGAAGGGACTTTGGAATCTCTTTGTGAATACTGTGAAGAAATACTACTTGATGCAGAAACAAATATAGCTGACACTGATGTTACCTTGAACGATGGTGTACTGACTTTAAAGCTGGGGGAACATGGAACATATGTAATTAACAAACAAACACCAAACAGACAGATATGGTTATCCTCACCAACCAGTGGCCCAAAACGATATGATTTTGTTAACAAAAAATGGATTTATAAGTATGATAACATATCTCTTCATCAGCTTCTTTCCAATGAACTGTCAGGTATTTTAAATACCAAAATAGATTTCACCAGTTGCTCATATGGAAAATGAGATGGAGAGTGATACCTTTTATTATTTGAACAGTATCAAAAGAAAAAACTTCATATAATTTTGTGGACTTAAATTTAATAAGTCAGTATTTAAATCAAATCTCATGTTTTACAAGGTTTTTGGAAATATTTTAAAGGATTGTTACAGAACACAAACTAAGGAAGGTTCAAAGAAGGTAATGTTGAACAGAAAATAATTCACAAATAATCTGAAAAGCAAATCATACTGATGGAAAATAAGGTAATAAACATAAATCAAAAATTCAGTAGAACTATTTTATTAGTATTATTCATTTAAATAGCACTTATATTCTAGTGTTTTATAGATTTTCTGTTTAACGTTTAATTGATATAAGGAAAATAAAACAGCTAGTGTTGTATTTTCCAACTCTTAGCTGCAAAAGATAATATTTGTCTGTAAGTGTAAATAAAAGTATTGTGACTTATCTGATTTGTTTTTTAACTATCTTAAATATGTGTTGTCCATATGTTATAAAGACTTGAGTGTATACACAAATAGGATATAAAAATGAGTAAGGCGATAGAAGACCAGATGGTGATAAACTCAGAATTTTCCCTTCATATTGACACATCTATCCAACATCGTTTAGAACAAATTTAAACACACACTCTATGTAATAGTACAAAATATTCCACAATTTCGTATCTAACAAAAAGTAATTATGTTGGAGACTAATCTGGGTATAAGTTTCCAAAAATTTACATTTATTAACCCTAATATTCAAATTCCCATGCCATATCTTAACATTTAACTTGTTCATGTAAATCTTTCACAGTTTGTCTATCCAATTCCCAACAATCATAATTACATGAAACAAGGTATTCCCAATTCTTTTAAAAATATAGCTCTTGCTGCAAACATTCTATTGTCTTCATATTTACAGCATAAAAAAATCAAAGGTTTTTATCCTCTCAGTCTCAGTAGATCACCTCTTCTCCAAAGAAAACAAGTTCGGAAGCCTTAATCTATCGCTGTGCGATTGATTGTTTCAGATGTTCATGTACAATTGCACAAGCGCCATCTGCACTAGCTATCCCTAATTTTGAACAGATAAATCAGTAGGGAAGGCATCTAGTCAACAGCACCCGCCACCAACTGCGAGATTTGACCATGAATTTTATAACATGTTGATCATGACAGTTTTCTATTTTAATGAACAGTACATAAACCATTAATCTTCAAACCCACAGCACAGCATGCTAACCACTAAGCCATGCTCAGCTGTTCTCTGTTAGATAACCTTTACATTCAACAGAATGTTTTTTCTACTTTTAGTTTTGTGGTGGATGCTTATTTTAATCAAGTGAATAAAATAATTAAAAAATTATCAGTAGTAAGTTTGAGGCCTACTTAATTAACTACAAAATGAAATTCTATCTCTCAGAAAAAAATTTAGTACATTACAATATTTTGTAATTTTTGTCACATTTCAAAGAGGCAAAATATTACCTTATAGAAATCTCTCTCACTCTGAACATTTTGTAGAATTTCTAACTATTAGCTTCATGAATGCCTCAATATATCTACATAGCATGATGGCATTATTAAATTAAGAACTGCTATAATCCAATGTATTTTTTTTTCAAGTTACATATTCTAATATACAAATGATCACTAAAAAAGAACATTTACATATACTTGTGCTCTTTACTAATTGGAATGGACTTTTAGCTCTTTAAACAAGTAATTTGCTCAAAGGAACAATTTCTAAAACCTAAATTAACTTAGGTTACTGTATGGTAAATTTAATATTATATACACATCACCATTATGAGGCCTAATTGTACTTGTTAGGGTTGTTGACCCAAGCAGTGCTGATGAGCCTTGAATAGTAAAACTCTAGCCCACAGCAGAGGGTAAAGTCAGTCAGGAATTGCATTAGGCTTCTATGTGACAGCTTCTCTTTTCAATTTTACCTTTGGTAAAAAAAAAGAATTGTAACACATATATATATCCTAAACCCCTTTAACTTAGGAGTTGGTGGTCTGCCTGTTCAGAATAATATTTACCAAAATACAGTGATCCTACCTTTGAATTTATAGACATAAAGTAATAATAATGTAAAAGCTGTTATTTTGAAAGTTTGTTTAATTATTTAGGAGGACTTTCTGAAATACTGCACATAATGATACTTGATCCAATTGGTGTAAGCTTTAAACTTTATGCCACAACTACAGTTCATAAATAATTCAGAATTATAATGTTCATTAGAAATTGGATTTCTGTGAATGTAATATTCCTCCTCATATTAACCTAAGCAGTACAATGGTTATTTGTTACCAGAGAGATACTACCTACATTAGATCTTTGAATGAACTGTTATGTCGTGCAAATATACAATTAAAGGTTTTGAATTTTGTAACACATATATATATCTAATCCATAAGTAAATTTTGGTTATATGTTCTTAGACCTCTTGTTAAATTACAGGTTTAAATGTAATATTGTCTTGTTTAACCCATTGCATGTATTGAGATATTAACATTTTATCAATTTGATTAAATTGATTTGAAAATTCCATTACCTTAGTTGTTTTTCAAATTTAAAGTATTAATCATGCCGTGTTTGGTATAAGACACAAACTTCTAAAAGGCAGATGTGGATGAGATGAGATAAGACAATGGTAACTTCTTCCTACAAGTTGTGTATAGAGTTTTATCACTTTAAAACAGACTTTCTAAGCACTTTTTGGAAGCTAAAATCTACATTAAAATCAATCAGATTCCACTAAAATTTTATAAAATTCCTATTTATGTGTTCAATATATGAATGTAGACTAAAAAGAAAAGAAAAGATAGACTTTATTTATTGCACTCAAGTCTGCAACATGCATTAAAGTTAATTGGCTTAGTAATTAAAGATATAATCAGTTAAATAACCAAAGGCTCATTCTTTTTTCTGTACTGCAGATTAAGAGGTTTTTTCATTATGAATTAGAATTCTTATTACTTGAAACTTTAGTTAACATTCAAAGTTTTGTCTTTCTTACCTGTATTTTGTTGATTTCAAGAAAGAATGATACAAATTTTTAAACTGTCAGTTATAGCTTCTGATACAAATTATTATTATTTTTCTCATACATTAAATACATTTCTTCTCTTAATCAAATTATTAGATGTTAAGACATGTTCCCAAGTCTGTAATATGGTTTCTTTGACAGGACTATTCTCTCACTATTATTAACCCAGTGTTTGGATTTTAATACTTAATCCCAGTTTCATCAATACAAAAATGACAAAGGCCTAAGTGCAACAGACATAAAAAGACCTGCTTTAACAAAAATATTATAATCTTCATATCTCTACTTCCCTTTAATTCAGTTTTTTGGATATTATTTAATATAATTGCTTGTATCCTTGTTTCTGAAACCTCCCAAGGTTCAGATTCTCTTTCAGAAGAATTGTCTTATTTTCTTTTAATGGAATTCCTCACATGGTGAGCAGTGTACCACCACTGTACTTCATGTGGTTGGTTCATCTCGGACCTAGGGCTCATGACCTTCTGCTGAGTCTACCTTGTCTTTGGACATCTTTGACCAATTCTTTGCACAATTTGCCTTTGTTTCTGGTTCTTCTATCCCTCAAAAGGATGAGGCAAAACCCACCTTTGTCCTTCACTGGAGGTATGTGTCCTTTTACTCCAAATGTTTTGTGCTGGTTCTCAGATGAGCTTCTTGCAAGCACCTCAACTTACAAGATTTTTCCCCTCTTCCATCCTCACCTGATCTTTGTATTGTTGCAGATTTTTTCAGTCTATGCTTCATGTTAACTCTCTATTGCCATGTCCTTCTTGAACTTAAGATTATTCTCTCTAGCCCTTATCATTCATATACTTATCAAGCTTTCTCATCTTTAGTATTGTAAGTTTGTCCATCTGTGGACTCACTTTACATGAGACCCTTGGATCCCACAGGTTTCCTCTCAGAAGCTTCCTTTGTCATTCAAGGCTCACACCTGTCTATTTTCATCTAAGTTCTGGTGGTATTCACACAAAGGAGGCACCAGTTTGGTCTGCATTTCCACCACTATATGGACATTTGGCAATTTCAAGCCGTCCTGAAAACATCATCCGCTATGGCCTCCCTACTCCTTTGGGAGTCTGCTTTTTTGGGCTTGTTAGTCAGGCTCCTAAATCAGTACTGACTCCTATTTCATATCTGATTCATTTGAGAGTCTTTATCACCTCGTTTGCTGGGTGGGCTCGACCTTCTCCTTTCTATGGCTCTCGAATCTCCTTTGTTTTTACCTGTGCATGAGGTTCTGAAAGATCAGGAGTATACCTTGTAGTCCACTGTTTTCTGTTGTTTCTATACCTCCATTTGTCCTTCTCACTGTCATGGTGGTTCAAACATTTACACACAATTCTAAGCAACCATCTTCTTTCACCCTACTTAGATTTACACCTTTTCATGGAAGCTTCTCTAGCTGGTGAGGTGCAGTTCTAAATACCCTCAAACTTTTCAGTGTTTCGTTTCCTGCAAAGCAATCTTTCTAATGAATGTCCTTATGATGTAAGCAATTCAAAGGACCTGTCATTTATCTTTTGTTACAACTGTCTGGATACCTTATCTATTTCAACTACTCCACTCTCATTTCTTACACCAATCAATAGGGGAGGGGGTACTCCCTTTTGAGATTGCTACTTCTTGTTTTCCAGATCCACTTTTTAGGTTCACTACAACATCTGGTTGTTGGTCTTCCATATTCTGGGAGCTTTGAATTTGGTGATGGAATGGCTGTCTCACCCAGACCAATTCCTGACATAGTGGTCTTTACATCTCCATATGTTTTTGTAGATTTGCTAACACCTTGGGAGTCCTTTTATTGATGAAAATGTAACTCTTCTCTATGCCAAGCTTCCACTTTTTGATCATCAATCTCAGGCTCCATGATCTTGGTAGTATTCCCCTGGGTTGGTCCACCCTCTTTATGTATACCTGTACCTTATTTCTTGGCTACTGTCTTTAGTTTATTACATTCCTTGCCAGGTTATTCTCATTGCCCCTCTTTAGCCAGCTCATTTATGATTTTCATTTTTTCACCTATTTCGAGATCCAGGACCTTTAGCTTTTCTATCTTAGAAACCCATTCATCATAAGCCTTGGATGTCCATCTTTCACCATAATGTTTCATTCCTTCATCTTCTCGTGTAACTTTTATCTGGTCCCTTGTAAGATGGACACATTTTTCTTGCAGAGCAGCCCTTTTCTTTGTTAGCTCTTGTCAGCCATTTACTCTTGCAATTTATAACCATAGGTGAATAATTTATTGATACTTGTCCATTCACCACTCTATTTCCTCCAGGTCATTCAACTTTTCTTCATCTCACTTCCTTTTCATCCGACTTTTTTTTTTTCCTGACCATTCTCCTGATTTAATAGAACTGTGCTGAATCTTTCTAATCAGTCATCCTTCTCATCTAGTT